TAATCATACCATGGTGGGTTGATGCAAGAATATTATTTTCCAGGATGCTGACCTGTTTTTCTGCACACCTGTTTGCATGTTGGCCCTTGCCATTTTAGCCAGTGGTCTCTGTCACCCTTGTACCCCTTTGTACCCCCCTGTTTGCACACAATGGTCTCTCTCTGGTCCAACAACTGTCCAATATCAGTTTCCAAATAAAATGGGGGGGTCCAACCCAACCTCTCTTGAAAATCCCTCTGATAAAGGGGGGTAGCCAACCTTAGATCCAAGTCGAGATAGACTCAGACTGATTTTATTTTTAACATAATTTTCTTGTCTGGATCAGGTCGGCCCCCTTTGACCTTCAAAATCAGGTCGGCCCCCTGGCTAAGATCTATCTCCTTCCAGGGCCAAGTACCCCCATCTTAGCCTCCATGGCCAGACGGCTCTTATATCCGTCTTGGACCCCGCTAGCCGCTAGTTCAGTGAGATAAAGCGATGGACTGTTCAAGCAATTGTAGGTAAGTCATAGTCAAAAGGGTATATAAATATACAGTAGTCCTTCATGCTGCTCACTGCCTGGCCAAGAAATATCTATAACGACACACAGGTGCCGCATATTCGCAGTAGACTCCCCACATTGAGTCAAGCAGTCTGTCCTTCATTCTTTACCTCCCAGGATGCTGCGGCACCACGAGCCTCCCCAATCAAGCACACCCAAATCTAGCTTGTCGGAGGCATCCCGCCAAAAGAACACGTTGTCAACATTGAGATTGCCATGGCTCCATGCAATGTAGTCCTTGGATCAAGTTGCCAAGAGTCATCCATCTTAGAGAAAAGGCCCCCAAGGAAAACATGGCAATGGCTGCAAAGGTGCTCATACGCGTGTGGCTTCACTTTCGAACATGAAGAGAACTTAAATAAAACTATCATGGCTTTCAAACATCTTCGACATGCCTCAGGAGTCTCAACCAGGAGTCTGGATTTCGATTGCACCACCATGCCATCTCCGCCGTGTACGCGTTTGAAATAGCCAGTATTTTCCTTGCACGTGTGGCTGGTTGTAACAGCGGTGGGGACAACACCAGCAGCTAGCTAAGCAATGACAAACAAACCTCTGCCGACATTTTGTGATGACATCAAGAGCAGTTGCTGGTCAACGTGTGACGCTACGACGTCTGCCGGAGTCCGCCGGAGGGAATCTGAGCCCATAGTATGCTTCTGTATACTAATTTACATACTGTTAACGCCTTGCAGTTCTATTTGACTACGTCCCAGCTTGTCCTATAATTTCATTGAGTGGCCACACCGCAACACAAACATGCCAAGAAAGTTATATACTTACATACACGATCATACACGAGAATCCAATTGATTGCTTTCTTTCAAGTTCTCTCCATGTCAACACATGTCTGTTCACGTTTCTAACACACCAATCACATGTCAAGCGCGCGGGTTTCACGCCGGGGAACTTGTACTTTTGCAGAAAACTCGCAGTGGAGCACTCCGCTGGAAAAAGCGCTTTGCCTCTCGCGAGGAGTCCGACAGCGGTTTGCGTCCAGTCGTGACTCGCGAGGTCAGCGTACAGTCGAAAACTGAAAGCCTAATACTACACTATATCTAATATATATATATATACAGCTGGGTAGTGTGCTTATCATTGCTTATCCAAAGCAACAAATACACATATATAATACACACAGATGTGGCATTCAAGCAGGGTGGATCGCAAGCAATCTCTGGTGACAAACACTGCCTGTAGTGCCCACAAAGTCCACTCCCATCTTGATCTTCATGGCGAATTCCTTCTCGCCAATGCCAGAGCTTTCCTTTGGCTAGGGGATTTGCCCTCAAAGGCTTATCTGTCTAAGAAAGGGTCCTCTGTCAGTGTGACACGATTAGAGTGCTGAGATTCCCAAACTGCCACCTTACGGGGAAGCCGCTGTCGTTGAAACACTGTTTGAGATGTTTGAGGCCCTGTTTTGCATGAACTACCGGTGCTCCACACGTTCGCTTTGTCGGCTTCAACTCCTCCGCGCTCGGTGATCAGATGACTCCGGTTTCCTCGCCTTACTTGTTACGTCCGTATGGACGACATGGTCACACCACTTCGCGACGCCTTCCCTCCGAACAACGGTGGAGGAAGGCTCCGTCCCTCAGAGGGATCAAAATATCTCAAGTAAAGGTTGAACATCTCTGAAAACCACCACTAGGTACTAGGAACAAGGGACGCTACTAGTGACGAAGGGGCATCGCTACTAGGAACCAGGGACGCTACGGACGTCACAAGGGACGGTCAAATTCTCTTCCTCCCAACGCTCGTCTGCCGCCCAAAAAGCCGCGCGCATGCCCCAGTGCTCTTTGGGCCGCATGGCTGCAGATGGGAAGAATCCATCCTCGATCGCCAGGGACCCAACGGGTCGAGGGACCCATCTCGATGCAACGAAGCGCCGAAAGCACCGAAAAGGATCTTCGAATGGTATACGTCACAAGGCCTCGCACATCGGTGAACATCGGTTTTTTCAGACCCCCACATCCTGAAGAATCAGGCACGCAAACTCACAACAACAACAACAACAACAACAAGGTACAAACAAAAACTGCAGCCCCGTTACAAGATATCTTGGTCCTTTGTCTCTACAAGGGGGTGGAAACAACATCTGCAACCCCGTCGTTGTTATATTGACCTCCCCCGCGAAAACAACCAGCCAACATGTACTTTTGCCATTAGCGGTAGTGCTTGTACTAGTGCTAGTACTAGTGGTACTAGTACTAGTAGTAGTCGTTGTTGTAGTGGTCGTAGTAGTAGTAGTAGTCGTCGTCGTCGTCGTCGTGGTGGTAGTGGTAGTGGTAGTGGTAGTGGTAGGTGGTAGGTGGTAGTGGTAGTGGTAGTGGTAGGAGGAGAAGTAGTAGTGGTAGTAGTAGTGGTAGTAGTAGTAGCAGTGGTAGTGGTAGTGGTAGTAGCAGTAGTAGTAGTAGTCGTGGTGGTAGTCCGGTCAGCTAAGCCTCTGGAACACTTATACTTAGAACCTCTACCACATCCTAGAGACAAAAACTGCAGCCCCGTTGTTGTTTTTTTGAACCCTCCCCCTCAGAAGATGTTGTGTCTCTACCCCCCCTAGAAACAAAATCTGCAGCCCCGTTGTTGTTTTTTGACCCCCCCCTCCAGAACAACATCCAAAAAAACATCAAACAACAAGAAACATACCAACCAAGACTTGAGTACCACAACGACAAGAAGTCCAGCTACTAACATCTCTCCAAACCTTCGACCCTATCCCTAACAGTGTCCCTTTGAAATCCCTGACTTGCAACATGTGACAACTATGTTGGGCAGCTGCTTTTGTGTCTAACAACAACAACAAGGTACAAACAAAAACTTCAACCCCGTTACACCACATCTTCTTTCTTTTTCTCTACAAGGGGGTAGAAACAAATTCTGCAACCCTGTCGTTGTTTTTTGACCCCCCCCAAAACAACCAGACAACAAGCACTTTACTGCTACTACTACTACTACTACTACTACTACTAGTGGTACTAGTGCTACTACTACTACTACTACTACTACTACTACTACTACTACTACTACTACTACTACTACTACTA